GTGTCCCGAAATTGGAGGGTGAAACCACATGCGGGCGCTGCCATTGAGGCGTTCGGTGGAGCTCCCGATGGGGCCATGAAACGTGTGATGGGCACACCGACATGGAGGGTGGAACTGCATGCGGGCGCTGCCACTGGGGCTTTCGGTGGAGCTCCCTTTGGGGCCACGAAGCGCTGTATTTGGTGCGATTGGCAGAGGCAGGCATGGGAGGAGGGATGGGGCAGCGGGGGTGAGTGTGACGCGGGGCGCTGTCTCTTCAAAACGAGGACCCAACACCACAGGATGGTTGGGAATGATGGTGATCACGGTGCAGGGAGAGGAGAGGCAGGGATGGGAGGAGGGAGGATAAGGGAGGAGGAGGAGAGGAGGAGGAGAGGTGGGACGCGGGGCGCTGTCTCTTCAAACGTGGACCCAACACCACAGGATGGTTGGGAATGATTTGTTGGAACTCCACGCAGATTTCTTGGAGCTGCATTGGGCTGCCCCGGCGGCGCCTGCGGCGCCGCCCCTGGCGCGCTCTGCGCGCCAGGGAGGAGGAGAGCATGCTGCTTCGCATGAGTTTGATGTACATGACGGGAGCATGACTTGGATCCGGCAGTGGGTCAGTCTTGTGCACTGGCGCAGAAACTACGACGCTTTTTTTTTCCGGACAGGGCTCGGGCCCAGGGTTCTTTTTCCCGGAAAGGGCTCGAGCCCAGGGTTCTCTTTTAGTGGGTTTACCCCCGGTTTCGACGGCTGTAGGGCCGGCGAAATTATTCTGCGATAAATTACGTGCGGGAGTAGGGCCGGCGGAATTATTTTTGAGGATGTCCCTAGCGAAACGCTTGTTTTTCAGAATTTGTTGAGGATGTCTCGAGCGAAACGCTGGTTTTGCAGAGTTGGGGATGTCTCGAGCGAAACGCTTGTTTTCAGAATTTGTTGAGGATGTCTCGAGCGAAACGCTGGTTTTGCAGAGCCGACCGCGACATGGAAAAGCGCCCCGCGCGCAGGAATTCCGAGGATGTCTCGCGCGTGCCGCGTCCCGCGCGCAGGAATTTCCAGGATGTCTCGACTAATTCGTTTGTTTTGCTAGGATTTCCTTGAATTTTGGCAGGATGTCTCGAGCGAAATGCTTGTCTTTCATAATTTGTTGAAGACGTTTCGAGCGAACCGCTGGTTTTGCAAAATTGGGGGATGTCTCCAGCGGGGGCCTCGTGGGGGGCCTCGTGGGGGTCCAGAATTCAGAGGATGTCTCAGGCGAAATGCTTGTTTTCACGTCCCGCTCGCAAGAATTCCGAGGATGTCTCGCGCGTGCCGCGTCCCGCGCGCAGGAATTCTGAGGATGTTGGCAGGATGTCTCGAGCGAAACGCTTGTCCCCAGCACGTTCCGTAGCGCGTCCCCTTGGCACGTCCCGCGGTGCGTGCCCATGGCACGTCCCTTGGCACGTCGCTTGGCGGGTCCCTCGGGACGTTCCGCGGCGCGTCCTCCTGGCATGTCCCCTTGTCAATTAGCTCTGGGGCAGCTACTATGTGTTCAGGCAGCTCGAGCTTAAGATTCAGATCAGTTCGGTCAGGACTCGGATGCAAAGGAGAACTCGATCCACGAGGCTATAGAGCACAATCGCGGCATGGCACATCGCAAGTCAGCACGGCGCAGCACAGCACAGATTTCGGCACAGTACATCAAGATCGATAGACTCAGCATTGCAACTTGGCACGTTCCTTGGCACGTTCCGTGGGGCGTCCCTTGGCGAGTCCCCCTGGCACGTCGCGTGGCGCGTCCCCTGGCACATCCCGTGGCACATCCATTGGCACGTTCCGTAGCGCGTCCCCTTGGCACGTCCCGCGGTGCGTGCCCATGGCACGTCCCCTGGCACGTCGCCTGGCGCGTCCCTTGGGACGTTCCGCGGCGCGTCCTCCTGGCATGTCCCCCTGTCGATTAGTTCTGGGGCAGCTACTATGTGTTCAGGCAGCTCGAGCTTACGATCCAGATCAGTTCGGTCAGGACTCGGATGCAAAGGAGAACTCGATCCACGAGGCTATCTAGAGCACAATCGCGGCGTGGCACATCGCAGTTCAGCACGGCGCAGCACAGCACAGATTTCGGCACAGTACATCAAGATCGATAGACTCAGCATTGCAACTTGGCACGTTCCTTGGCACGTTCCGTGGGGCGTCCCTTGGCGAGTCCCCCTGGCACGTCGCGTCCCCTGGCACGTCCCGCGGCACGTCCATTGGCACGTTCCGTAGCGCGTCCGCTCGGCACGTCCCGCGGTGCGTGCCCATGGCACGTCCCTTGGCACGTCGCTTGGCGGGTCCCTTGGGACGTTCCGCGGCGCGTCCTCCTGGCATGTGCCTCTGTCGATTAGTTCTGGGGCAGCTACTAAGTGTTCAGGCAGCTCGAGCTTACGATACAGATCAGTTCGGTCAGGACTCGGATGCACGGAGGACTCGATCCACGACGCTATGTAGAGCACAATCGCGGTATGGAACATCGCAGTTCAGCACAGTGCAGCACAGCACAGCCCCTGGCACAGTACATCAAGATCGATAGACTCAGCATTGCAACTTGGCACGTTCCGTGGGGCGTCCCTTGGCGAGTCCCTCTGGCACGTCGCGTGGCGCGCCCCCTGGCACGTCCCGCGGCACATCCATTGGCACGTTCCGTAGCGCGTCCCCTTGGCACGTCCCGCGGTGCCGATGGCACGTCCCCTGGCACGTCGCTTGGCGCGTCCCTTGGGACGTTCCGCGGCGCGTCCTCCTGGCATGTCCCCTCATTCGATTGGTTCTGGGGCAGCTACCATCTGCTCAGTCAGGTCGAGCTTATGATCCAGATCAGTTCGGTCAGGGCTCGGATGTTAAGGAAGACTCGATCCACGACGCTATGTAGAGCACAATCGCGGTATGGAACATCGCAGTTCAGCACAGTGCAGCACAGCACAGCCCCTGGCACAGTACATCAAGATCGATACATTCAGCATTGCATTTGCCCGTCGCCCAATCAAGTGTCTTTGAAAAGTTGCCATGCCTTACATTTCTATATTCCTTTCCGGGTTCGTGGGTCGATCATGTTTAGATGGTTTTCCCTCGGCTTCGACTTGCGTAGGGCCGGCGAATTGAATCTGCGATTGAAAAACGAGGTCGCATAGGGCCGGCGAATGAACAAGTTGAGGATGTCCCTAGCGAAACGCTTGTTTTTGAAATCCCGATCGATAAATCACAGGGTGCGGGACACAATTTGGTCGATGAAGTATTCTCAGCATGTGTTTTTATGCATGTCCCTATAGATTGGCCCTCTCCAGGCTCGCGAATCCATTTGTTTTTGCGTATGTTCCTATATATTGGCCCTCTCCAGGGGCACGAATCCGCTTATTCCCGGAAAGGGCGTAGGCCCAGGGTTCTCTTTTAGGGGTTTGCCCCCGGATCTGACGGCTGTAGGGCCGGCGAATTTCTTTTGCGACAAAATAACGAGGTCGCGTAGGGACGGCGAATTCAAATTTGAGGATGTCCCTAGCGAAACGCTTGTTGTTCATAATTTGTGGAGGATGTCTCGAGCGAAACACTTGTTTTGTGTTATAGATTGTCCTCTCCTGGGGACCTGAATGCAGAGGATCTCTCAAGTGACATGCTTTTTTTTTCACGTGCCCAGGTCTTGAGGATGTCTCGAGCAAGACGCTTGGTTTCACGCCTCCAGGTTGCCCAGACAGATGTCTAGCATGAGGATTTGTTGAGGATGTCTCGAACCAGGGGCTTGTTTTCACGTGTCCAGGTCGCCCAGGCGGATGCCTAGCATGAGGATGTGTCGAGGAAGTCTCGATCGAGACGCTTGTTTGCACGTGTCCAGGCGGATGTCTAGCATGAGGATGTGCTGAGAACGTCTTGAGCGAAACGCGTGTTTTCACGTGTCCAGGTCGCCCAGGCACAGCACAGCCGCAACCTTCGGCACGGTACATCAATATCGATACTTTTAGCATTGCAGCCTGGCATGTTGCCTGGCACGTTCCGCGGAGCGTCCCGTGGCGAGTCCCCCTGGCACGTCGCGCGGTGCACATTGGCACGTTCCGTAGCGCGTCCCCTTGGCACGTCCCACGGTGCGTGCCCATGGCACGTACCCTGGCACGTCGCCTGGCGCGTCCCTTGGGACGTTCCGCGGCGCGTCCTCCTGGCATGTGCCCCTGTCGATTAGTTCTGGGGCAGCTACCATGTCCTCAGGCAGCTCGAGCCTAAGATCCAGATCAGTTCGGCCAGGACTCGGATGCCAGGGAGGACTCGATCCACAACGCTATATAGAGCACAATCGCGGCATGGCACATCGCAGTTCAGCACGGCGTAGCACAGCACAGCCGTCGGCACGGTACATCAAGATCGATACATTCAACATTGCACCTTGGCACGTTCATTGGCGCGTCCCGTGGCGAGTCCACCTGGCACGTCGCGCGGTGCGTCCCCTGGCACGTCCCGCGGCACGTCCATTAGCACGTTCCGTAGCGCGTCCCCTTGGCACGTCCCGCGGTGCGTCCCCCTGGCACGTCCCCTGGCAAGTCGCCTGGCGCGTCCCTTGGGACGTTCCGCGGCGCGTCCTCCTGGCATGTCTCCTCTGTCGATTAGTTCTGGGGCAGCTACCATCTGCTCAGGCAGCTCGAGCTTAAGATCCAGATCAGTTCGGCCAGGACTCGGATGCCAGGGATGATTCGATCCACAACGCTACATAAAGCACAATCGCGGCATGGCACATCGCAGTTCAGCACGGCGTAGCACAGCACAGCCGTCGGCACAGTACATCAAGATCGATACATTCAGCATTGCATTTGCCCGTCGCCCAATCAGGTGTCTTGGAAACGTTGCCTTGCCTTACATTTCTAAATTCCTTTCCGGGTTCGTGGGTCGATCATGTTGGGGGGAGTGAGGGATGAGAGCCCTGCGCACAGCAGGGAATATGCTGACCCCCCCGCCGTCTTTGTCAAAAAACACTACAAAGTGTTCGCGGGCCTCACGGACAGCACTCAAGACTGTGCCCCAAAGTATAGTTTGCACTGTTGCTTGACAGGGATGGTGGGGGTTGCGTCCGTAGCCATTTTGGCTCAAGCCATTTTTGCTCAAGTGTGGTTGACACGCAGCCATATCGCGCCACCAGTTTAGTGTTGTCTCGCCAGCCGAGCTTTCGCCATGTTCGGTCTGTGTAAGTCCACGCCGAAATCCCAGGCAACGGAAGTCGTGGGAGCGGCGAGGGCCGACGTTGTTGGGGCGGCGGGAGCCGACGTCACTCGGGAAGATGTGATCGCAGTGCAGAACGCATGGGCGGGCGCGATCAAAAACATTTCGAAGATTTACAAGGAGAACGGCGACTACGTCCAGGCCGCTGCTACCGCAGCTGGTGAGCTCTACGCCTACGGCAAGTACGACGTGCTTTTCAAGCCGACTAAGGCTGCTCAGCACCAGTTCCGGCCCAAGGCCGAGGAGGCCATGTCCTACTTCGTCGGCTGCAAGGCTGTCGATAATGGGTACGCTGAGGACGGCGGTTTTGCGATCAATGGTGGCAAGGGCTGGTCAGATTGCGTGTACGACAACCACCAGATCGATCTCAATGGTCATGTCGCCATCGCCATGGGCAACTACTATTTCACCTGCGCAACAACTGGAGAGAAGTCCAAAGTCGAGTACACATTTGGCTACCAACGCTGCGATGACGGTAAGGTTCGCATCTTCTTGCACCATTCGTCCGTGCCGTTCACCGCCTCCAGTAAGGCAGCGAACCCCAAGGCAAATATGGCGGCCAGCACAGCAGCGGTCACCAGGGAAGATGTGATCGCTGTGCAGAACGCATGGGCGGGCGCGATCAAAAACATTTCGAAGATTTACAAGGAGAACGGCGACTACGTCCAGGCCGCTGCTACCGCAGCTGGTGAGCTCTACGCCTACGGCAAGTACGACGTGCTTTTCAAGCCGACCAAGGCTGCCCAGCACCAGTTCCGGCCCAAGGCCGAGGAGGCCATGTCCTACTTCGTCGGCTGCAAGGCTGTCGATAATGGGTACGCTGAGGACGGCGGTTTTGCGATCAACGGCGGCAAGGGCTGGTCGGATTGTGCGTACGACAACCACCAGATCGCACTCAAGACCGATGTCGCCATCGCCATGGGCAACTATTATTTAATCGCTTTGCTCATTCCGCCGGCCCTGGAGCGCTATTTGGGGCCTCTTGGGGCCGTCTTGGGGGCCTCTTGGGGGCTTCTTGGGAGCGTCTTGGGGCTCCTTGGCGACGTCTTGGGCTCCCCTGAGGCCTTTTAGGGGGCTCTTGGGGGCCCCTTGGGGCGGGAAGGGGGGCAGTCGATTGCAGCCACCCCCTCGGAGGCTACGATCCTGGTGTGGCGTGGCGAAAAATAGCCTCCCCCCTGGGGATTGCCCGGGACCTGGCCGGGGACCCGGACAGGGACCCGGACAGGGATTAGCCGGGGTACTTTCCGTCCGGGGGCCCCCAGGGGCCGCGGCCCCGCGCGCACGAATTAGAAATATTGTTGAGTAGTTGCCGGAGATCTTAGCACGCCTCTGGCCCGTTGGGCCGGCGAATTTCACCTGCGCAACAACTGGAGAGAAATCCAAAGTCGAGTACACCTTTGGCTACCAACGCTGCGACGATGGTAAGGTGCGCATCTTCTTGCACCATTCGTCCGTGCCATACGCCGTCTCCAGTAAAACAGCGGACCCCAAGGCAAATATGGTGGCCAGCACAGCAGCGGTCACCAGGGAAGATGTGATCGCTGTGCAGAACGCATGGGCGGGCGCGATCAAAAACATTTCGAAGATTTACAAGGAGAACGGCGACTACGTCCAGGCCGCTGCTACCGCAGCTGGTGAGCTCTACGCCTACGGCAAGTACGACGTGCTTTTCAAGCCGACCAAGGCTGCCCAGCACCAGTTCCGGCCCAAGGCCGAGGAGGCCATGTCCTACTTCGTCGGCTGCAAGGCTGTCGATAATGGGTACGCTGAGGACGGCGGTTTTGCGATCAATGGTGGCAAGGGCTGGTCGGATTGCGTGTACGACAACCACCAAGTTGCAGTCAAAAGTAGTATTGCCATTGCCATGGGCAACTATTACTTCACCTGCGCAACAACTGGAGAGAAATCCAAAGTCGAGTACACCTTTGGGTACAAACGCTGCGAGGATGGTAAGGTTCGCATCTTCTTGCATCATTCGTCCGTGCCGTACATGGCCGTGCAAGCGAAGGCCCCTGCTGCCGAACTCGATGTGACATTAATCGGTGCGTAAGAGGCCCGTATGATTCCTTCCAGCAAGTCTGCATCCAAGAGGCGTTGAACTTCCACTCATCTTCGTGTGCATTATGGTTTCGCGCTCTCCTCCCCATTCCCTGGGGCGGTGTTTGCGCCTCAGAATTTTTCCGCTAGGTCTATCTCGCTAGCGATTCTTAAATCAACCGGGTGTTCGATGAGCTTTCTCGCCCCCATCTTTTCCCCAAACAAATCTTACATTATTCCTCTCTCTCTATATCCGTAAGGGCTTCGCCCCCTGCCGCCAGCCCCCTCTCTCGGAGAATGAGCCATAGAAGAGCTAAGTCATGAGGCCTTGGCGCTGTCGTGAAGCAGTATCGAAACTTCATGCGAAGCCGATTCGCAATCAGCAAAACCAACTGATCACAAGAGGGGTTACCACACCTGGCGATTGGTAAGACGTGTATGGTTTACGGGCTTGGTTACCACACCTTGCGATTAAAGGGCCGAGGGAGTTCTCGCAGTTTGGGTTACCACGCCTTGCGATGGATGTGCGTGAAGGGTGGCACCGAATTTCAGAAATGTGGCAAATCCCCTGTGTTTTTGGACCCTGACCCCGCGGATCTGCGTGAGGGGTGGCACCGAATTTCAGAAATGTGGCAAATCCCTGTGTTTTTGGACCCTGACCCCGCGGATCTGCGTGAGGGGTGGCACCGAATTTCAGAAATGTGGCAAATCCTATGTGTTTTTGGACCCTGACCCCGCGGATCTGCGTGAGGGGTGGCACCGAATTTCAGAAATGTAACAAATCCCGTATTTTTTTGGACCCTGACCCCGCGGATCTGCGTAAGGGGTGGCGCCGAATTTCAGAAATGTGGCAAATCCCCTGTGTTTTTGGACCCTGACCCCGCGGATCTGCGTGAGGGGTGGCACCGAATTTCAGAAATGTGGCAAATCCCCTGTGTTTTTGGACCCTGACCCCGCGGATCTGCGTGAGGGGTGGCACCGAATTTCAGAAATGTGGCAAATCCCATGTGTTTTTGGACCCTGACCCCGCGGATCTGCGTGAGGGGTGTCGATTTCGAGCCCCCCCAGCAATTCAGACAACGCGCCCATGGAGTGCTAAAAAGCCGGTTTGGGCCCCCCCCCCCCCTCGCGCGGTCAATCAACTAGTTACAGTAACCAGCAAGAAGCAGAATTGTAACACTGGAAACTACAACCTACAACTGGTACAGGAAACTGCGAATCTCGGGCCTACAGCCTGGTGGCCCCACAAGGGGGCCGGCGGATATAGAGTCGCCGTCGCAAATCGTATTTTTCCATCCCGGAGCAGGCGCTGTATAGCGCGTCCATCGCCGTCGCACATGGCACTTTTCCATCCCGGAGCAAATGGTTTTTTCCCATCCCGGAGCAGGCGCTGTATAGCGCGTCCATCGCCGTCGCAAATGGTATTTTTCCATCCTGGAGCAGGCGCTGTATAGCGCCCGCCATTTGCGGCTCCTCGAGGGCGGGGCGGCGCGGCCCTCCCTGCGGATGGTGCAGTGCCCTCGTTTGCATTCCTCTTTTGCCTGCTGCTCAGGTTGTCGAAAGTCGGACGTCGAGATCCAACGCCGAGAGGCAGGGGTCTGGCTCCGCTGGGCCGTCTGGCCTCTCCTCCCCCCTCCTGGAGCAGGCGCTGCACAGCGCGTTCATCGCCGTCGCAAGCGGTGTTTTTGTCCATCCTGGAGCAGGCGCTGTATAGCGCCATTTTCGGCTCGAGGGCGGGGCGGCGCGGCCCTCCCTGTGGAAGCGGGGCGGCGCGTGCACGCCCTGGGCCTGCTGCAGGCCACCAGTCGAATGAGAACTGACGGAGCGCGCTCGCTCGCCCCCTTGTGCTGATGTCGCTCCTCCATATCCTCGCCAAAGCGCTGCGGACTCCACGAGCCGATAGCTGGCGTGGCGGCTGGACCTGGCGGGTGCCGATGGTCAGACGGGGTTTGACTTCGCGACGCTTTCGCCGTCAGTTTGAGCAGCCTAGGCGTAAGTCCGCGATTCGTGAGTTCTAGCGGACCGCCCCTGGGAGTCAAGCTCAGACATGACTCGCACTTTCGGTGCGCTTGCTCAGGCAGCGCGTCTCGAGTTTGCTCGCGAGGATTGTCGCAGCGGCAGTGGTTGCGAGCCGTCGTGCGCACCGCCAGCGCTCCCGAGTGCAGCGCGGCGACCGCGTGCGCGCGTCTTGGCTGCGGGCGCTGTTTTGCAAAGCGAGCTGTGTATGCGTGCACTCCTTCACATGCTCGCCGCTGAGTTGCAGTAGGTTGGATCTGCCAGGCGCCGCCCACAGTGCGAGGCGCGTAGCCGCTTGTCTTTCTCTGCGAATTGATGCCAACCAGGCTCCGGCGTCGCGCCGATTCCACGAGGCCGACAGAGGAGAAGTTGCAAGAGAGTCCCCCCAACAAAGGGATGGTGTGGGGGGGGCGCATCGGTTTGGCCGCGCATGCTCCAAATGTGGAGGCAGAGTGCGTTTTGTATTGTTCTTTGACAGGGATGGTGGGGGCTGGTCGTTCTGGTGTCGGCATGGTGTCCTCATTGTGCCTGCTTGGCCCCCGGCCGCCTGGGGGAGGGAATGTATGGATGGGCAGTTACTGGGAACCAAAACTGAGACCAGGTGAGCGACGCTTGGGCGAGGTGCGCCGCGCGTGCCAGGGGCGCCACGCGCGCCAGGCACCCCTGGGGCCCGAGCGTGCCAGGCACGCCTGGTGCGCCAGATGCGCCACGTGCTCCGAGTTCGCCGGGTGTGCCGCACACTCCAGCCACGCCAAGTGTGCCACGTTCGGGGCACGTGCAGATTGCGTCAGGTGCGCCTTTGCACGTGACAGCACACAGGAAACGTGTCGGCCCCCACCATCCTTATCGGTAACCAATGCCCATAATTGTTTCTGGTGGGCGTACGCACAGCAGGCCATACGCCACCACCCCCGCCGTCCCTGTCAAAAACCACTTCACAGTGATCGCGGGGTGGCCGCGCATGATCCAGATTTAGGCGCGAGGTGCATGTTGTACTGTTTTGTCCCCGACCATCGTGTGGTGTTGGGTCCTCGTTTTGAAGAGACAGCGCCCCGCGTTCCTCCTCTCCTCCTCCTCCTCCTCCTCCTCCTCCTCCTCCTCCTCCTTCCCTTTGCTCCTCCTCCTTCTCCTCCTCCTCCTTTTCCTCCTCCTCCTCCTCCTCCTCCTCCTCATCCTCCTCCTCCTCTCCCCCCTCCTCCCATCCCTGCCTCTGCTCACCGCATGTCCATGATTTCGGTACACCACTCACACGTTCCGTGGCCCCATAGGCAGCTCCACCGAAGGCCCCAGTGGGGGGGGCCACATGCGTTCGCCACACCCAGTACAGCGCTTCGTGGCACCATAGGGAGCTCCACCGAAGGCCCCAGTGGGGGTGCCCGCATGCGTCCGCCACACCCAGTACAGCGTGTCGAGTCGTAGCCTCATTCGGAGCTTCACCGAAGGCCCCCCAGGGAGAGTGCCCGCATGCGTCTGCCACACCCAGTACAGCGCTTCGTGGCCCCATAGGGGACTCCACCGAAGGCCCTAAAGGGGGTGCGTCCGCCACACCCGGTTCAACGCTTCGTGGCCCCATAGGGAGCTCCACAGAAGGCCCTAGTGGGAGTGCCCGCACGCGTCTGCCACACTCAGTACAGCGCTTTGTGGCCTCACAGGGAGCCCCACCGAAGGCCCCAGTGGGGGTGCCCACATGCGTCCGCCACACCCAGTATAGCGCTCCGTGGTCCCATAGGGAGCTCCACCGAAGGCCCCAGTGGGGGTGCCCGCATGCGTCCGCCACACCCAGTACAGCGCTTCGTTGCCCCACAGTGAGCTCCACCGAGGGCCCCAGTCGAGGTGCCCGCATGCGCCCGCCTATGGGGCCACGAAGCGCTGTACTGGGTGGGGGGGACGCATGCGAACTGCGCCACTGGGACCTTCGGTGGAGCTCCCTTTGGGGCCACGAGACGCTGTACTGGGTGGGGGGGGACGCATGCGGACTGCGCCACTGGGACCTACGGTGGAGCTACCTATGGGGCCACGAAACGCAGCCCTGGGTGAGGGAACCGCATGCGGGCTGTGCCACTGGGACCTTCGGTGGAGCTCCCTATGGGGCTACGAAGCGCTGCCCTGGGTGGGGGAACCGCATGCGGGCTGTGCCACTGGGACCTTCGGTGGAGCTCCCTATGGGGTACGAAACGCTGCCCTGGGTGGGGGAACCGCATGCGGGCTGTGCCACTGGGACCTTCGGTGGAGCTCCCTATGGGGCACGAAACGCTGCTGGGTGTACGCATGTGCCCCCCCCCACTGGGGCCTTCGGGGGAGGGGCACGAAACGCTGCCCTGGGTGGGGGAACCGCATGCGGGCTGCCACTGGGACTTCGGTGGAGCTCCCTATGGGGAAACGCATGCGGGCTGTGCCACTGGGACCTTCGGTGGAGCTCCCTATGGGGCCACGAAACGCTGCCCTGGGTGGGGGAACCGCATGCGGGCTGTGCCACTGGGACTTTCGGTGGAGCTTCCTACGGGGCCATGAAGCGCTGCCCTAGGTGGGGGAACCGCATGCGGGCTGTGCCACTGGGACCTTCGGTGGAGCTCCCTATGGGGCCACGAAACGTTGCCCTAGGTGGGGGAACCGCATGCGGGCTGTGCCACTGGGACCTTCGGTGGAGCTCCCTATGGGGCTACGAAACGCTGCCCTGGGTGGGGAAACCGCATGCGGGCTGTGCCACTGGGACCTTCGGTGGAGCCCCCTATGGGGCTACGAAACGTGTGAGGGGTGTGCCGAGAGCAGAGGCAAGGAGGGGGAGGAGGGAGGAGGGAGGGGGCAGCGGGAGGAGAAGGAGACGCGGGGCACCGTCTCTTCAAACCGAGGACCCAACACCACAGGATGGTTGGGAAAAACAGGGTGCGGAGTGTTTTGCGCAGAATCTACGATTAAATTTTAGCTGTGAATGCAATCGAATTTTACAAACAAATCTAGAACAGTTGATTTTTTGCGCGCCCGCTCGAGGATGGCGCGTCCCGCGCGCAGGAATGTCGAGAATGTCTCGAGCGAAACGCTTGGCTTGCAGAAGGAAGGTTAGCTTTTTGCGTGCCCGCTCGAGGATGGCGCACCCTGCGTGCCGAATATCTGAGGAACTCTTGGGCGAAACGTTTGTTTTGCAGTGCTTGAAAAGCCTGGGCGCCCCAGGACGCCCAGGTGGTTCTGGGAGTGCGGTCGTTATTCACAAGGGATCGTGGCCCTGGGAGTGCGGATGCCGCGTACTTCTCAAAGGATTTTGGCCCTGGGAGTGCTGACGCAGCGAAATTAACAAGGGATCCTGGCCCTGGAGGTGCGGACGCAGCGTAATTTACGGGGGATTCTGGCCCTCGGAGCGCGGACACTGTGTGATTCACCAGGGATTGCGGCCCTGGGAGCGCGGACGCAGCGTCGTTTACAAGGGATCGTGGCCCAGGGAGAACGGACGCAGCGTAATTTACTAGGGATCGTGGCCCCGGGAGCGCGGACGCAGTGTAATTTCAGAGGGGTCTTGGCCCAGGGAGCGCGAATCCAGTCCAATTTTCGCGGGACAGTGGCCTTGGGAGCGTGATTCCCGTGTAATTTACGAGGGATCGCGGCCTTGGGAGCGCGGTCGCCGCGTGGTTTACGATGGATCGTTGTCTTGGGAACGCGGACGCAGCGTTCCCTGGCACGTCTCCTGGCACGTCCGCTGGCACGTTCCGTGGCACGTCCCCTTGGCACGTTCTGTGGCGCGTCCCCCTGGCACATCGAGAGGCGAGTCTCCTGGCACGTCCACTAGCACGTTCCCGGGCGCGTCCCCTGGCATGTCATTGTGCGGTGAGGTATAGCGCAGAGAAGCACAACACAGCCTCTGGCACAGTAGCATCACCATTGATATCTGGCACGTTCCTTGGCGCCTCCCCTGAGCACGTCGCGCGACGCGTCCCCTGGCACGTCCCTTGGCACGTCCCCTGGCACGTCCTCTGCCACGTCCGCTGACACGTTCCGTGGCACATCCCCCTGGCACGTCCCGTGGCGCGTCCCCCTGGCACATCGTGCGGCGCCTTGGCACATCCCCTGGCACGTCCCCTGGCACGTCCGCTGGCACGTTCCGTGGCGCGTCCCCCTAGCACGTCCCGTGGCGCGCCCCCTTGGCACATCGCGCGGCGAGTCTCCTGGCACGTCCCCTGGCACGTCCACTGGCACGTCCCGCGTCGCGTCCCCTGGCATGTCATTGTGCGGCGCGGCACAGCGCAGAGAAGCACAACACAGCCCTTGGCACAGTAGCATCACCATTGATACCTGGCGTCTCCCCTGGGCACGTCGCGCGGCGCGTCCCTGGCACGTCCCCTGCCACGTCCGCTGACACGTTCCGTGGCGCATCCCCCTGGCACGTCCCGTGGCGCGTCGCCCTGGCACATCGTGCGGCGCCTTGGCACATCCCCTGGCACGTCCACTGGCACGTTCAGTGGCCCGTCCCCTGGCACGCCACTGTGCGGCGCGGCAAGGCGCAGAACAGTACAACACTGCCCGTGGCACAGCGTCGTCACCATTGATATCTTCAGCACTGCCACTGCCCATCGTTCAATTGAGGTGCTTGGACACGTTTCCATTCCTCGCAGTTCTGATCCTAAATCCCTTTCCGGGTTCGTGGGTCGATCATGTTTATGGTGGGCCAGCTTATGATGCCAGCCCGTGCCCACCCCGTCCCGTCTCCAGGGACCTCGCATCTCCCATATGATGGTGGGGTCCGCCGCCCCCTGCGCGGCACGTGCTGAGCAGGATTAGTGGGGACTTGGAGTGAAGGAGGAGGAGGAGGAGGAGGAGGAGGAGGAGGAGGAAGAGGAGGAGGGGGAGGGGGAGGGGGAGGGGAGGAGGAATTGAACGATGGAGCACCTAACTGAATTAAATGAAGAGGCCCCCCATCCCTCCCCTTTCTCCTTCCTCCCGGTGCTGCCGGCGATGGCCCTGTCCTGCCGAAAGTCCTGGGGGGAGCACCACATGCCCCACCCGTCGCTTTGCTGACGAAGGCCCCTGGACCCAGAAAGAAATGGATGGGCTGGAACGCCTTTTTCCAGCGTGTGGGCCAGTTTATAAAAAACGCATGGGCCGGTGCAAAGAATCCATCGGTCGCGCGTGTCTTCGCCAGTGTTCAGGAGAACAGCTGATTATGAGGAAAGCGAGCGTTGTACACAGTGCTGCAGCCGTAGTCGTGCACAGTTTCGGCTCGAGTTGGTTCGGTCGTCGATCGAGTTCCATTGCGGCGCCTGCGTGGGGGGGCCCTCCGGGGTCAGCGCCAAGGCCGCGGAGCGAGGGCGCGGATCGAGGGAACCGGCGGCGCTGAGAGGAGGAAGAGGAGCAAGGAGAGGCAAGGGCAGGAAGAGGGGAGAAGGCAGCGGCAGAGGCGGAG